CGCCTACAGCTTTTTAAGGCTCCAACTAGAAAATGTAAAATAGCAAGGGAACTAAAAATACCTAGCAATAAGAAAGTACTGAGACTGCAACTTGGAGTGGCTTACTTCGCTATAGCACAAGACACTTGTTCTATAAGACAGGTACATAACGATATTGAAAACAGGTTAGAAATGTCTGTATAAGTTGGCCCTTTATCTACAGATATGGTTTCCTGTCCTCATTGTCCAAGTATTAGGCTTATAAGTCACCTCCGGGCTAACTGGCAATCAACTCTAGTTTCATAATGGATGAAAGAAAGGGTGATTTTCCTCACTTGTGATGGACAAACAACGAACAACAAGAATCTATTCCAACATGTAGGGTCTTTGGCACACTACCAGGCCGACCCAGGTTTCGCTGGAAAATCAAAATCCGACAGTCTCTGACTGACAGAGGACTGGAGTGAAACAAAGCCAAAAAGAAAACTGCTGACACGGAAGTCTGGCGATTTCTCTGGCGAACAACAACATCCCAAAGTAGAAGAGGATCGACAAAGTAAAGTATGCGCTGAGTTAAGCAAAGTACCAGTAACTGCCTACAGTGGATCCTCGCTTTACGAGAATAATTCGTTCCAGAATCAAACTCATTATTAAGCGAAACACTCATGCGAAACAATTTTTCTCATATAAATTATTGTAAAATACGATAATGCGTTCCATGTCGAAAAAAAAAAAATACTCACCACATGCTATGTATAACGTTTATCCAAAAAAAAAAAAAAAAAAAAAATTATTTACATATTGTCTAGGAGAGTGAATCATCTTCATCTTTTCTTCCACTGCGGAACAAACCCGCCTGGAATGCGAATTCGGGCACTCTTCCAAATTTGTCTTTGAATATTTTTAGACCGTTATTCGGAAGAGTGCCCAGGCAAATAGTAATGTGGTTTCCCCTAATGGCACCCCACTCCAAGACACGGAGTCGTACACCTATTTGGGCAGTATTGAGATAAAGATGGAGAAACTGATAGAGGTATTAAAATAAGAATCCAAAAGGCAAGAGGAGATTTCATAGCACTAGGGAATTTGTGGAGGTCAAAATAAATTAAAAGAAATACTAAACTAAACATTTTAAATTCTAATGTCAAATCAGTACTTTTGTATGGGGCGGAAACATGGAGAGCAACTAGGGCAATTACTAATAAACTAGAAAAACTTAGGCCAGAACCATGGACACGTAAGCCAGAGAAGGCAAATGTAGTCCTAAAGGTACCAGGGATCACTTCAAAAAATGCCCAGACGGAGACACAACAGAGAACCCTGGCTCTTGCTATGCTTGATGAGAAGTATCCAAACACCACTTGGACTCAGGTTTTCACCGACGGCTCTGCTACAGATGCAGTCAGAAAGGGGAGTTGTGGGATATACATTAAACCCACTAGCAGTAGAGTAGAAACTCTCTCTCTCTCTCTCTCTCTCTCTCTCTCTCTCTCTCTCTCTCTCTCTCTCTCTCTCTCTCTACCAGCAGGTGACATCTGCACTAACTTCAGAGCTGAGGTAACTGCCCTCCTTTCTGCAGTCCAACATCTCATCACTCAAGAACACAGAGGGCACAAAATTGTTATACTTAGTGACTCATTGTCTATTCTCCAAGCACTATCAAGCAAAAAACAAGACAAACTAATTGCAGATCTAAGGACCAACATTGGCTTACTCTCCAAGGAAGCAGAACTGGTCTTGCAGTCGATACCAGCCCACTGTGGTATTCAAAGAAATGAGAGAACAGATGAGTTGGCAAAAGCTGGGATTATTCTTCCACAACCTCATCCACCACACAGCTACAAGGAAACCAAAACAGCGCTAAAGCAGTCTTTCAAACGGGAGTGGAGGAGGCAGAATGGAGATTACAGACCAGAGAGTGACAGCATAAACAAACTCAACAGGAAAGAACAAACATCCATTTTTAGACTTCGGACTGGACACTGTGGTCTTCGAGCACACCTGTACAGGATAGGCATAAAAGAATCTGCTGCCTGTGATTGTGGAGCAGAAAGACAGACCCCTGAGCACATACTGCAGTACTGCCCTAACCTCTCCCAGCAAAGACTGTGGATCTGGCCCAGGGGATCCACATTGCGAGAGAAGCTATGGGGGACCTGTGTCGACCTTAAACGCACAATCCTACTCAATATTTAGCATGACTGATGTCGAACGCAGAAGAAGAAGAAATAAACTAGAAGCATTCAATAACTGGTGCCTGCGCAGAATAGAAGGAATTAAATGGTATGATAGAATAACTAATGTAGAGCTTTGGGAAATAACTAAACAGGCTCCAGTGGACCAAGAGGTGAGGAAAAGACACTGGCGTTGGATAGGACACACACTGAGAAAACAGGAGAACAGCATAACTACAATGTCTTTTCATTGGAACCCACAGGGGCATAGGAATAAAGGAAGGCAAAAAAAAAAAAAACACATGGAGAAGAGAGCTGGAGAGTGAAGTGGACAGCTGGTGAGGACATGGGGAGAGCTGCATGCAATTGCAAAGGATAGAACGACTTGGCGGGAGTTGGTTGAGGGCCTATGCTACATTGCGGGATAGAAAGGCGGAAGAAGAAGAACTAGATAGATGTCTAGAGACATTTGTTTTTGCCGACGCTTCAAAATTTGGCGAAAATGCGACACAGCATTATCATTAAATAAATTTGCAACGCGCATAGCCACTTCCTTATTAGCGTGATGTTTCTCAATGTAAGATGCAACAGTTTGCCATGCTTTCAGCATTTCTCTTATTTCGCCAGAAAATTGTTGCTTTTCTGTTACCTCCTCCTCTTCCTTCTCTGACAAGTTTTCCTCAAAAACTTCTTGCTGTGAAACACAATGCAACTCCATAAGCTCTTGGGTGGTCAGCTCTTGGCTGTGCTCTTCCACAAGCTCTTCGTTATCACTGTTATCCACCTACAATCCCATGATAGTGGCCAAAAACAGTCTCGTTGACTACAGGTTCCACAGGTACTGTCTCAAACCCCTTAAAGTCACAAATCGACAACGCTCTCCATCCGAAGCTTCTTCCAAGCAGAAGTCGATCATCTTGAGGCAGGCAACGATGTGGAAGTGATTTTTCCATAACTCTTTGAGAGTGAGGTTGGTCCCTTCAGTCACCTGAAAACAATGTTCGAAGAGTTCTTTAGTGTAGAGCTTCTTAAAGTTAGAAATAACTTGATGGTCCATGGGCTGAAGTAACGGAATAGTGTTGGGAGGCAGAAACTGGATCTTGATGAACTTAAATTCTTCAGGGAGTTCATGTTGTAGGCCTGCAGGATTCATGTACCTATAACACAATATAACACAAGTTTGAGAAAATGTGTGATCACAAGCGACACTACGATGCTACTGGAATGATTGCTAAACACAGACTGATGTAACAAGCGCACAATTCGGGACTTCCCGTCTCCTCGTCACTCGTTATGCGAAACGTCGCTCGTTAAGCGAGTCATTCTTTTAGAATTTGTTTTGCTCGTTATGCGAATTACTCGTTATGAGAGGTGCTGTCCCTCTTACCTTTCCTCTCAGTGTGTAATGTCAGTCGGATCCCTTGGTCACTACCCGCTTCACCACTCTTCATAGATCGTGATGTTTCTTTTGTGATTTTGCAGTGTTCACTCATTCCCAAAAAGAGCTTAATCACATCTCGCTTTTCATGCATCAATTTACCAGCAGATGGGGTAGAACTAGCCAATCTACCTGTTCATTTCCCAATACATTTACATATTTAGTAGATAATGTTACGGCGGTCCCAAATTCTAACATAAACACATAGTGTTTTTAAAAGTGGAGGTTGTGGTTAGGTTTAAGATTCCCGGAGTTGGGCTAAACTAGATGGCTGAGACTCAGGAGCAAATAAAATAAAGGAAGCTGCAGGAGATGCGGTAGCCTCTGCTCGTGAGTGCCAGCCATCTATTTTATCTCCGCTTCCGCGGGAGATACTATCGGCGGCGGCGGTAGTCGCCGGAAGTGCGCAAATTAGGTCGCCAGAAGCTCGTAATTTGCAGGTGACTGAAGTCCTGTTAAGGTATTTTTCGGCCTCTCGATAATTTGGGACCAGTATTCGGAGGATAGACACTATTTGCAATAATTTGGAAAGGAAGGGAGCCTGTGTTCTGAATAGTTTTCGTTTTCTTTTAATTAGCCTACAAGATAACTCCCTTGATTCAGAAACGTAAACAGTGAAGCCATAAATTGTCTCCGCTTTTTAATCGTTTGAATTTGGGATCGCCGTTCAGAGGATTGCCTAAGTACCCTGTAATCCAATGTGGTGGTGGGATGTCTGTTTTAGAAACGTTGGTTGAGATCCAATGCTTTGCTTTAAAAAATCGTCACGTTCAACCAGCATTCCCGAGGGGGGAGCTTTTGGTTATAATTGTGACTAAGTTATGTGCGCCATATACAATGGCTTAGCATTGCACCCTTCCAAGAGCCCTGGAAATTACTCCTGCAGTGTTGATGCCATCAAAGGAGACGGACCAGAATACTGTCCCGACCGGCTACGAAGTCGTCTCCCAGTGAGCCATTAGGCGACCCGGTCGCTGATAAAGCGTTGGTTGCCATGGTTATGTTTTTATTTTACCCTCTTCTCAGTTATAGCGGGAGTTATAAATTTTGCATTTAGGAACCGAAACGAAATAAATAATTTATATTCAAAACAAGAAGTGAATCATCTAGGAAGTAAACTGGAAGCCCTTGTAGGACTTTGTTCGCTTTTAATACTTTTATCAAAGAGTTATTACTAAAACGAACAAGATTTATGCAATTAAAACTGTCACGTGAACATTTCTAGCGTATACATAATGTTTGCAGTGTTTTCCATTGGATACTTTTCCCCAACATAATTTAAATTAATTATTATCAACTTGATACAACTAAAATTATTACGTTTTTTTTAAAAATATCTATATCTTGTCAACTTGTCAAGGAAACTTTTTAAATTCCAGGAACATTTTAAATAAGATTAAAACGTAACAATGGTCAACACACCAATACCACACAGCTTAAAATCGGAGGCAAAGAAAGCAGCCAAAATTCTGACTGAATTCACCGTTCCAAATGCCAAGACTGGACCAGACGGTCTTATTCCAGGTAAATAGTATAAAAAAAAACCATGTTCAACTCATTTAGTACACATCAACTTACCATGCGTTGATTTATTAGACCTTACAAGATTTACTTTTGTAAACACACAAAAAGGACATGTTCCTCATTAAGCTTTTAGGTAATCTATTATATCCCCCATTTTACTTTAACTACTTTTTCATTTTCTGATATTATTATTATTTAATATCTAGACATTTATTTATACTGCAGGTAACCTACATAGAAATCAGTACATCAAGTGATATCTGCCGGGTACTGAATGTGTTGCAAGATATTTTTAGTTCCCTTATTTTGTTAAGGTATAGTAGACACATGTGTATCAGATATTCAATGCTTTTACTTTTATCACTTTGCAAGTATTATTTTATAATAAAGAGACCAAAAACTAAAATATAGGCTATCTTCCGAATAACAGTCCCAAATTATCAAGGCCAAAAATATACCCTAACAGGGCCTCAGTCACATGTAAATTGCGGACTTCCAAGGACTGAAATTGCACACTTTCTGCGACTTCGGCCACCGCCGAGAGTGGATTGAAGCTAAACTAGAGGGCTGGGACTCACGAGCAGCAGCTACCGCATCTCCTGTAGCTTCCTTCATTTTTTTTGCTCGTAATTTCCAGCCATCTAGTTTAGCCCCCATCCACGCCGTAGGAGATACTCTCGGCGGTGGTGGAAGTCTGCAATTTACATGTGACTGAGGCCCTGTTAGGGTATATTTTTATCCTCTATAATTTAGGACCGTTATTCAGAAGATAGCCAAAATATAAGTAACATATTAATGGTTACGAATAACAGTTTGCAAAAAATTATATTCTTTCTTTCTTCTTATACTGCTTCTTCTTCTTCTTCTTCTTCTTTTTCTTCTTCTTCTTCTTCTTCTCCTTCCTTCTCTGCTTCTTGTTCTTCTTTTACTTGTTCTTCTTTTTCTCCTATTTCTTTTTCTCCTCATGCTCCTACTTCTGTTTCTTTCTGACTTTTTCTTCCACCTTCTAAAGGAACAAAGTTCCCATTCAACTCACTGCTGTCCCATCAAGAGTTACTCATGATTGTATGGATGTAAGAGATTGTATGTATACAGTATGTTTGTTCACTGAATGAACTCAAATCTGAACAATGTTTGGACAAACCAAATTTTCCCCTGTATAAGACACCCTTATGTAGAAGACAATCTTTATTTTTATAGTCCAAAATAAGGAAGAAAATTTTTTAAACAATTCCATATATAAGACCACCTTTGCGCTCTCCCCCCCCCCCCCCCCCCCCCCCCCCGCCCCTTAAAGTTTAAAGACTAAAGTCTGAGGCAAATAGGTGATGCAATGCATCCTTGAGCGGCCCAAAAAGTGAAAGTGAAATAGAGCCAAGTCAGGGCTGTAGGGAGGGTGTTCCAGTAACTCAAATGTAATCTTGTTCATGGTTTCAATAATATGATGAGCCGTGTGTGGCAGTGCATTGTCATGCAACAACAAGACTGTCTTCGACAACATACCTCGGTATTAGTTGCAAATTGCTGGCTTCTGTGTGTTTTTTCTAACAGTTCATTGTAACTGGCACTGTTGATCATAGTTTCCTTTTCCATAAACTTCCATAATGGCCCTCTAGTGTCCAAAAAAAGAAAACCCCAGTAAACATAACCTTTCATGCTGATGGTCCAGTCTTGAATTTTGTCTTCACTGCTCATTGTTTCTCTTTGGTGCAAACTTCTAATTGAGTGGCCATGAGAAGGAAGAAAAATAGCTGAATTAGGATCAAACTTGCATAGCATTATCACAGTAGTATATCAATAAAATAAGCAAGGACAGAAGTCAGTGTGGACAATGTAAGACGAGTTATGTCAACATTTGTGACTTCACCTCGTACATGGCAATTGTAGTTATGATACTGTGTTGTGATTGTCTTTATTTTCATAGCTGGAATACTGGCCAAGGCTAAAGGTCTTGCAATCATCACTGTTTTTAAGGCTGGATTCCTTGTGACAGCTCGTGGAGGTAGTGGTATAGTCATTGCTAAACTTGATCGGGAAAGCGATTCTTTTAATGAAGGTAAGGTTTATTAAAAACATACTTTCATAATCCTGAGATATCAGGTTTGTTTTAGTTGCAGAAGATTTGGCAGCAGCCAGCTTTATGTTGATTTTAACAGCAGTGTGACATTTGACCATTAGAAAGGAATGGCAGATTACTAGGGTCTGTTTTTGAAATGCAATTTTTGTTTTATGAGTGCAGCTTTTTAAAGATCACTAGGCGTCATGAGGGGGTTCATGTTTTGTGAAACATTTTACAGGTGGCCGGCCACACTGCATCCGATGAGGTAAAACGTGGTGCAGTAAAGTTGATCCTCTTAGTATTAATGTCTTATGTAGAGTGACTGGGTCTCACCGTGCTTTTTGGACAGCTTTGTTATTTTTTACTAGAAATGTATTATTGCACTCCAGGCAAGCTCAGTTGTGCTAATTCTTTCTCAGAAATTGCACTAGAGCATATAGGTACCTTGGTAATATAATGGTTAGTTTGCTTTCTTACCAAAACAACTTAACAAAGACAGGTTACCAACAAAGCTTAACAAGAAAGTTAAAAAAAAAACAACCTTCGTCAAGAACAAGAAAGCGTACCAAATAAAGCTTAAGAAGATAGCGCACCAAAATTAATAAAGCTTACCAAGAAAGTTGGGAAAAAAGCTTACTAAAAAAACTTACCAAAAAAGCTTTCCAAAAAGTTTTTAAAAAAAAGCTTACCAAGAAAGTTTATCAAGAACAAAAAAGCTTACCAAGAAAGCTTACCAAGAACAAGAAAGCTTACCAAGAACAAGAAAGCTTACCAAGAACACGAAAAGTTACCAAGAACAAGAAAGCTTATCAAGAAAGCTTACCAAGAACAAGAAAGCTTACCAAGAACAAGAAAAGCTACCAAGAACAAGAAAGCTTATCAAGAAAGCTTACCAAGAAAGCTTACCAAGAACAAGAAAGCTTACCAAGAACAAGAAAGCATATCAAAAACAAGAAAGCTTACCAAGAACAAGAAAGCTTACCAAGAACAAGAAAAGTTACCAAGACCAAGAAATCTTATCAAGAAAGCTTACCAAGAAAGCTTACCAAGAACATCAAAACTTACCAAGAACAAGAAAGCTTACCAAGAACAAGAAAGCTTACCAAGAACAAGAAAAGTTACCAAGAACAAGAAAGCTTATCAAGAAAGCTTACCAAGAAAGCATCAGCACCTCACAATTACAGCAATTCAGATAAATTTACTGTCATGGACATGCATGAATGCGAGAGTATGAACGAGCTGATTTCTTGGCTGCTAAGCAATAGCTATGGGAACACTAATAGTGGACAAAGGAGACATTGTGGAGACCATTTGTGAATTAATGCTGATAGAAGACATGAAGTTAGATACAATAACATGTCTATGAATGTGTAAATGTGTAATTAGCAGTGGATCTGAGGAGGAAGGGAATGAGGAGGTAAAATCAGTGTGCTACAGGAACACTTATCATCTGCACCTCAAGACATATGCTGCAGGAGATCAGTCAAGTGGTCTTGGTCTAGTCTCAAGCAGCTGCAGGATCAGTTAAGTTTTCTGTCTTTACATTAATGATAACAGAGGGCAAGGATAGATGGCCACATGCAATTAGATATTATAAAAATAAAAACAGAAACAGACAAATACTTGGGTGTAAATTTTGACTGCTCTAACTTACTAAAGAGAAGAAATACAATGTAGAATACAATCTGGAAATAATGTGTACTGTGCCCTACATCTACACCAAATGCCCTATCTTACAACACTAAGACTATAACATAAAATGCTGATAAAACCAAATGACCTATTTGGTTTTGAAACCAGCAGTTAGTTAGTTAGTATTTCCTCTTGGGCCTAGGTTGGGGCAAAGGGCAGAGATCACAGCTCTCCATGTTTGGCGGTTCGTTGATACCTGCTTTAGGTCTTGGGTGTTTGTTAGGCCCATGGTTGAACCTTCTCTGATGATGGTTCTACGAAGAGTTTCTCTTGGTCTTCCTCGTTTTTTTTTTCCTTCTGGTGTCCATATGAGAGCTTGATGGGAAAGTCTTGTCTTATCCATTCTGAGAGCATGACCAATGTAGTTCCAGCGGCGCTTTCTTATAAAACTGGATACAATCTTGCTTGGTCTCTTGTCTTATTTGCCTATTGGATCTAAAATCTGTCCAGTGGAGGTTGTTTGTTCTCACAACTGTCTAATTTTTTATGTGGATCTACTGGTCCTTTCCAACTCTCACATGCATCAATTAGCACTGAAATCACACAAGAGTTGAAGATCTCAAGTTTTGTGAGATTGCTGAGGGCCTTTGACTTCAAGATATTTGACTTTGAAACCAACAGTACAACTAAAAACAAGGCAAAGCCTTATTATATTTGAGAACAATGTCTTATGAGTCCTTGAAGATGCAAACAGCAGACAGTGTAGAGTGGGAACCAACAATTACATACATAATCCTTTTAAATCACCATTGATTACCAGCATCATGAGGGCTTTTAGACTACAGTGATTGGGTCATAAAAAATGCCAGATGAAAGGGACAAAAACTGCATGCAAAATATTGTTGAATGAGAGTAGACCACGAGGCAGAACAAGAAGACAGAGGAAAGATAATATACAGTCAGATATAATATACAAATACTTGACGTCACCAGTCACAGAGATGAATGGAGGTGAATGATATCTGCAGCAGTGACCCATACCGAAGAAGAAGAAGATGAGGAAGATGGAATAAAAGCGTTAGATGAAGAAGAAGAAGTCCAGTACCATACTGAGGTGGAAGATGTGGCTGGCACTGGCTTCCGCAGAAATCACATCTCTGTTGATATCAAATGTTTCTTAGTTTGTTTATTCTCCAGTTCTCATTTAGGTACAACAATAAATGTTTTATATGGCATTTGAGTGTTGTTGAGAACTGACAGCACAGCACTCCGAACATTCCCTTAAGCGCTATGTCCTCATCTTTACAGCCAGCACATAGTTCCAGTTGTGATGGTGCCAGGAGCAGTTTGATATCTGTCTTGTCTTTTCTCTGGGTATAGAGTCTCTGCCAGATCCCTTGGTCACTCCTAGCTGTATCATTCTCTCCAGACCATAATGATTTATACCTGCCTTCATATTGTTCATATGCTGCCAATGGGCTTGACCATATCTAGCTTGTCATGAATAAATTCACCATCCTTTAGTACAGAATCAGCCAATCTGTCTGCCTGTTCATTTCCTAACACTCCTGTGTATTCCAGACAAAATTTCCAAAGACAGCTGTATTGCATTTCAACATAAAATCTGTTTCCATTGAAATGGACAGCTTTTTATTGACATATAACAAATCACTTCCCTTCTTCACCACCTGTTCTTGAGACAGTCATGTCACAAGTAGATCAAGTCTGACACCTCTGTGGGTTGAACCCGCACCATTTTCTCGGCAAGCAAGCAAGCACAGTAATCACTATGCCACCACCACTGTCCTTGGGATTATCATCATCATCAATTAGTAAGGCCTTTACAGGACGTCGCTCTTGTCACTGCACGCCTAAAAGTCTCTCTTTCTTTAGCCATTTTTTCAGCCCTTTGTGCTTTCATAACCAGTGCATCTTCAGTGTCTTATATCCACTTTCACATTTCTCTGCCTTGTTTTTTCAGACACTATTCCCTTCCTCCATCACCATTTTCCCCCTAGGTCGCCACGACGTTCAACATTGCCAGAATACTGCAGCTGTCAGGATTGGATGCTGTTTATGAGCCAATTTTCCTTGATGTTCAGATCATGTAGGATGTCAGTGTTTTTATTTGGTCCATAGTCTCTTTGGGACCTAAGAAATAAAAGTAACAAATGTGTGGGACAGAAAAAGTTAAACAGAGGAGCAATTATTCTTATGTTTTTGTTTTCATACTTTAAGTAGCAGTGTTATATTCTAAATGCTGATGATTTGTTTTTGTCCAGATTGGTCTGCTCCATCTGCCATTGGATTAGCAGGATTGGGTGGAGGTTTTGAAATTGGATTGGAGGTATATTTTTGTTTTTCTTCACTGTCTCTCTGTGCTGGTTCTTTACAAAATAGATCACGTAAGAGATCATGAATCCTATATGACTAATCAATTAATCTTATGACTTGCGGTCAAAAGGGACGCCAGGCGCGGTTACTGTTTGGCATCGAGGCACATTTTTTGCTTCTGCCAGACGGTGGCCTGTGCATTTTCAATCCATTTGTAGACTGAGAGGATACAGTTTCGTCGCGCCAGCTACTAAGTTGAGTGCATGGCGCGACCCTGTGAGCTGCTGTTTTCATTTGGAATGTTTTTCGACTGTGACCAACGTGGTGTTGTGAACTGTCGATTCAGAAATGGCGCGTGGCCTGTCACCGCAATATTGGTGGTGCCCTTATGTGATTAATATTGATCGCATGCGCAACTGCTGATCTGTTGACGACTTCTGCTACCGTCGATGATGAACTGCATTTCTAATGTCAAACTGTTTGTGTTAGCACTTCTGATGGCTACCATATGCTTTTAATGCATGTGTTTGCTAGTGCATATGCTGAGACAGCAGTCTGTCAATATTTCCACAAGGGACTGCGACGAACATGCTGTGTGTTTTTTGTTTCACAGGAGCGGAGCACCTATGGGGTAACTCATTTGCTATGAAGCTGAAACTAAGATTACCAAGATGACTGATCATTTTTTTTTTTTGATAAGAAAAGTATGGGATAGAGCAGACATTGAAAACCAAACCTCATGAAAATGGGTGCCAGAAAATTTTCTATTAAGGTAAAGGGATGAGGAAAGAATTTACCATTCTTTCTGTTTTAAATTTCTTAATCTGGGCAGAAGAGCAATAAGGCAGATCCCAGATACCCGGTTCAGCCTCCAAAAAGTTATAATTAGGGCAGCCGTAACAGCCACACCAACCAGGTGTAGCCTGCATTTCTGTTTAGGTGAGGAGGTGAAATAATTACTTACTAACTTTAACATGTACACGTGCCCGGCTCTCTAGCGTTGTAGGCTCAACCGGATTGCGCGGTGACTGGGTGACGAACTCCTTGTGGTCCTGGTTCACTCCCGGGGGTAGGCAGAAAAGCCACATTTCTCCCAGATTTACAGTATTTATCATAGAATCAAGGCCGAAAGGTTGCGATATCCATAAAACCGAGCCTAAGGGTTAACAACTCATGGCTTCTGGATACAAAAACAAACAAACAAACAAACATGTACACGTATGCACACAAGGTGTCTATATTTGAACAACAGGGAAGGGGGGGGGGGGGGCTCAATGGACCCACTGGACTTCTGACAGTTATCTCTTAAAAGGTGACTAATTGGAGGTTTGTTGAAATCGGATGTATTAGTGTAAAAGGTGCAGATATCACAGCCTAGCTGTAACTCATGACTCAACAGCTGTGAACCAAGAAAAAGAATAATCGTTTTAGGAATTTGTACTGAATTTTGTCTTTAGAACAGAAGTACCTGTAATAATAATTATGTCATCTTTTTATTCTGTATCCTTGCAGGTGACCGATTTTATCATAATCTTGAACACAAAATCAGCAGTTGAAGCTTTTTCTAAGGGAGGCAATCTCACTCTCGGAGGGAATTTCACCATTGCTGCAGGCCCTTTGGGCAGGAATGTGGAAGGAGACATTGCTGTTCGCAGTGCTGCTGCAATTTATACATACTCCAAAACCAAAGGTTTATTTGCTGGGATTTCCATTGAGGGTAGTGCACTTATAGAACGGAAAGATGCAAATAAAAAGTGAGAATTTATTTATATTTTTGTTTAAAATGTTTTTTGTTTCTTGTTTCTTTCTTTGTCTTTTTTCCCCCAATGGAGCATCAGCCCCCAACCCACGCATGCCAGGTCATCCTGTTCTTTGCTTTTGAATGCAGCTTACACTATGTTCTCCCTATCTTCTTCTTCCTTTTTTCTTCTTCTTCTTCTTCTTCTTCTTTTTCTTCTTCTTCTACTTCTACTGCACCTCCATGTTCATCAGCTATAAACTCTGGTGAAAACTTCTGGTTGCTCATTCACTTCTGGACTTCAGCCTTGTTGTAGAACCTGAGTTTTGCCTTCACATCTGTTTGACAGATGTGGCTTATTCGTATGCAGACTGTTGGTTCATCCAACTTCAAAGGAAACATCCCTAATTAGTTTACTTTTACGACATGCTTGTTAGGAGGCTGTGGATCTACTCCCCCTTCCTCCCCCTCCTTCCCTCCACACTGGGGTCCTAGAACGCGCACGGAAAGTTTTCTCCATCTTTTTTCACTTTACTATCTAATTTCCTTCCCTGTGTGTTTTTGTATGTACATTTTTCCTTCTCTGACTGTGATTTCCAATGTCAGAAGACTGTTTTTGTTCTCAGTACATTATAAGGTAACTGAAGAGAGCAGGGGTTTTCATGGTGAAAGATTACAGGCTTGTTTTTGGGAACACGTAACGTTAGTCTCCCCAAGCCTCGCCCATATACAAACTAGCTCACTTCTGATTGGTGGTTCCTTTGCACAAGGTCAGACCAGCTGGCTAGCACACTTGGCTAAACCTGACTGCGCGGCGACCTGGTGACGAACTCCTTGTGGTCTGGTATCTATCATGGAATCAAGGTCAAAGGGTTGCGATATATATAGTACCGAGCCAAAGGGTTAACAACTCATGGTTTCTGGATACTTACATACATACATACACACATACATACATACACACACATGCATACATACATAATTACATACACATACATACATACATACATACATACATACATACATACATACATACATACATACATACATACATACATACATACATACATACATACATACATACATACATACATACATACATACATACAAACACACATACATACATGCATGCCATACATACATACATGCATACATACATACATACATACATACATACATACATACATACATACATACATACATACATACATACATACATACATACATACATACATACATACATACATACATACATACATACACACATACATACATACATACATACATGTATGTATGTGTGTGTGTGCCTGCGCATGCGTGTGTGCCTGCCTGTCTGCCTGCATGCATGCATGCATGCACTAAAGGGGTGTTCTGCGATGCAGTTTATATCGCGTGTTGTATAATTCAGCACGCCAGCGCTTTTAACTTACACAAAAATGGAGAAACTGACCCTAACACAACCCCTTTAGAGAGTGCTGCAACCTATGTTACAGGCATTCTCTTTCTCAGAATGAAAATGTAAATACAAGACAATACAGAAAGCAAAAAACACAGCGGGACACACCCGTAACCATCAGGAAAGTCGACAGCCCAACAAACTTGTAAATTAAAAGGGACCTACTGTTTTTGAACTGTGTTGTTTGTTACTTAGTACTGTTTTCTGAATTTAAAAACAAAATTCTTGAGCATCATGACTTGAGCTATGAACTTCCGGCTTTGCTGCGGCAAATGTTTTCCGCAGAGTTATTTTACTTGATGCATAAAACTGCTTGTTTTCAGTTTTTATGCACATACATTTTCCTCCTTACAAACAATTTGTTTTTAGGTTCATATTTTATCTTGATCATATATGTTTTGTTTATTCACATTGTGTGTAGTTAACATACTTATTGTGTCATTTACATTCAGTATTTTTCAACATAAATTTTAAACTAATTTTGGCAATATAAAATGTGTTTCATTACCACTTTCAGTACTGTTGAAAGTGCATATTCACATTTCACTTTTATTTTTTTATATTCATAGATTCTATGGAAGGGATATAAGAGCACACCAGATTCTCAGTGGGGAAGTCGACCCACCTGATGACTGCCGGGACCTGTATGAAGTGTTGAAGGAGCACCGGGAGTTTGCACTTAGAGCTGTTGCTGATCTGGCCAAGAGGCAGGCAGTGAAGCAAAAAGAGAAGCTGGAGAGCATGTCGGAGTATTCTCAGTACAGGTTTGCTGTGAGTGCTCTCTCCTTTAGTGTAGTTTTCACTGCTGCTATGTATTCTCTGAGGAGTGTTTGGCCAAACAGTGGAGAAGACTAAGCCCTCATTTGAGAGACCCAGGTTCAAATCCTTGGTATAGTTTGGGGCAAAATAAAATGCTAACCTTCTTAATCCTTGGCAGCAGCATTCCCTATGCAGCCCTAAATCCTCAGGCTCAAAGATCCCCCCAGCCACACCCACCTACACTGCAAAAGGGGTAAATACAGGCAGCAATGGCCGTCTTTTTGTTGGGGGGGGGGGGGGAGTGTTTAGAGAACAGCTTATTCTGTTGCCCCTCAAAAAGATCAAAAGCAAAAGTGGGGATGTCCTTATTAACTCCACATTTTGTTATCTTTAGATCTTTTGTCAGCTGATGTGATTTAGGGGTTCTTCTTCTTTTTCTTCTTCTACTTCTTCTCCGTGTTTGCCAGCTGTAAACTCCAGCAGAAAAATCCAGTTGTTCACCCACTTCTGAACTTGAGTTTTGCTTGCATATCTGTTTTACAGATCTGGCTTACTTGTATGCAGATTGTTGGTTCCTTGCCCCCTAGGCAGTTGCACTCCAAATGAAACCCCTAATTGCATTTGGGAACAAATTAGGAATTCCCTGAGGCCCTACAGATTGTAAGGCCCTAGCCAGTAATGAAATGGCACAAATAGATAATTACGGTCTGAGGGGAATGGCGCTGCGGGGAATTACCAAGGGATCTGGTCGACGCTCGACACTCAAGCGAAAGGCGAGAAGGATGTATAGACAGAGAGTTACTGATACCATCAGAATTGGAACTCTTCGCTTGCTGCTGCTGAAGATGGGGACAGAGCGCTTATGGGAGTGACCCAAGTGCTATGATGTCCATTCTTAATTCAACATTCAACAGTAATGAATTTAATTCTTTCTATCTTGAGACATTCTAGAAGCTAATGCTTGAGTCCATGGAAGTTAAAACAGTAGTACCATGTGACAAGGAACGTGTCAGATAGAATGAGTTAATGGACCAGTTGTCTGAGGTTGAAGATTCGGACATGTGTTTGGTCTTTAAACTGACTTATGGACATATAATGAAATGTGTGGCATAAAAAGACCTAGTACTGATGTATTTTTAGCTCACTCGCCTGCAGGTCCAAAGGTGGTGAGTCCAAATGTGTATAGTTGCGAATTTGTTTCAAAGAAACGACCTTGGCTCTCAAATCCACCCAGCCTAAAATGGGTACCTTCAAGACTCTTTAACCTGGGAAATGATCCAGACATACAGCATAGATCTACAGCCTAACTATGCAGTCATTAAAAACAGATCCAGACATACAACATAGATCTAGAGCCTAACTATGCAGTCATAAAAACAATCTCAGGCATAGGCAGAACGGCTGAAGAATGTGAGCTAGTACTGCAGGCAATAATCCTTAAACATGTCTCAACTCTTACCCAAAAGCTGAATGGACATGTGTATACACAAATGGATCATTGGAGGAAGCAGCAAAAGATGGAGGAGCTGGTTTGGTAATCATGCTGCAAGATGGGACTACAGTGGAAACCTCTTGAGCCTCTGGGGAATCTCACAAACTTTATAGCAAAGCAGCAAGCAGTTATTAATACAACCAAAGTTTTTAAGGGAAGAAAAATTTAAAAAACAGCAAAATTGTTTTCCTGTGTGACTGCATGTCAGTCCTCCAGGTAACTCAGAGGGATCCACAAGACAGCATGGAGAGAACTGACCTGCCAGCTAAAGAGACTCTCTGAAAACCAATCAAATCGTTCTCCAGTGGATCCTGGCTTACTGCGGCATACCAGGAAATGATTAGCAGACAGACTTGCAAAAAACAGCACACCCATTCATTGTATTACCAAAAATCAAAACACTTATCAAGGAAAAATACAAGGAATTGTGAAGAGAAACATCCACAAGACCCCACCAGAAGACTCAACAAAAAACAAAACATACAACAATTTTTACCATCTAAGAACAGTACGAGGAAGGCCAAGGAGAAGATGGGTGCAGGATGTGGCAGATGATCTCCAGATGGGTGTATCAGACGCAGGACATCTTGCTCATGATAGGAAGGTTTTCCGGAGGGTTGTTATGGCAGCGAGGTTCCGCGAGGGACATGCTACTGAATGAATGAATGATGAACAGTACATTGCAGGCTCAACTACCACATGCATAAAATAAAGACTACAGTCCCCTCAGTGTGCATGTCAGACAGGACCACAAACACCTGAGCACTTTCTGTAGACCTGCCCACTCTAGCTATAACTTTGAAAAGAAGTGTGCAGAGCAAGCTGTAGCGAACCATAAAAGACCTGCAGTTGACAAACGAAAGAAGAAGAAGAAAATGAGTACCAGGTAAAAGTTCTGGGAGTAAAGGTGGTTGGTGTGATGTTGACCACATTGCACACTGTGTGCTGAATGATCTATAAAATATAGGTCTTGCACTACATACCCAATACGCCCAATTGTATGGAAAAGGGTTCTTTTATTGGTGTATTCTGTATAGGAATTGACCTCGGCTCCCAGGTCAAACTAGCTTAAAGGGTGAAGTAACAGAGAGTGGCATCATGTTGACCATACACCCTCAAGAGTCAACAAGTCAACAATTTAACAGGGTTAATTTTTGTTTGAAATATAGAGATCAAAGTCAACAAAATCAAACCATTCTTCTGGGAACCAGCCTACTCGGTCAAGCTCTGAACTTGTCCTTTCAGAGAAGGCAACCACATCATCACCATCATCTCGGAGGAAAGACTCCTGGACTGACTACCCTGTTCGTTCTCAGTCAAAAAGCTCTCTAAACCAAGGTGATTAATAATCTTCTTTCATCTTCTTCCTATTCTTCTCCTCCTCCTGCTCCTCCTCCTGAGCCCTTGAAATTCATTGCTACAGGTATCACCCACCTTCATTAAGCTCTGTTATAATGCCTTCTCTCTCCACTTGGTGACTCCATGTGTTTGTAGATCTGCCAGTATATTATCATCTCTCTGCTATCTTCTTGTTCTGCCTCATGGTCTGTTCCTAGTCAGCTAGTGTGTGCATGTGCTTTTTTTACCCTCTATGTTCTGCCATTCTCTCTGCATGCCCTATCCACTGAAGTCTGCTAGCCCTCTTTTTCTATTTTTGTAGTCGCCCTTAAAAGTTGGTTGGCACATTGTTTTGTGTTGTACAGTTAAGTTGCAGTATCAGTGCCTTCAGCCTAACATACCATATTTCAGCCTAACATACCAGATTTCAGCCTAACATACCAGTTTCAGCCTAACATACTAGATTTCAGCCTAACATACCAGATTTCAGCCTAACAAAGCATATTTCAGCCTAACATACCAGATTTCAGCCTAACATACCAGATTTCTGCAAAATCCTAATTAGTCACCTTTTACAACATACTTGGGGGGGGGGGGGGTGTCAGTGTGTCTTTTCTTCCCCACCCACAATTGGGGCCCCTGGAGCATACACAGGGATTGTTCCTGTGATTTGAACAGATCATGCAATCTAGGCACACTCATGTGTACATTAATTCCCTTCAATCTTCAGTCACTCACATGACATCATGAGCCATCTCCACAATGTAGGTTGGCTGCAGTTATCTCCAACACACTCTGCTGTTGTACATTCTCTCATATGGCTGTTTGTCCTTCTCTTGAATCTTGTCCTCTTACTTGAATCATTGTCTACCTCTTGCTCTCTTGATTGCGACCTTTCCCTTTATTATGTTTTTTAACAGTGTTTTGTCTTTTAATGTGACCAAAATGTTTCAATCGTCTCCTTTTAAATTGTTTTCAGCAACTCTCCTTTCCTTCTCTAATGTCTTCAGAACCTCTGTATTTGATTTTCTTCTGTTGCCAGAGTGGAAAGACCCGTATAACAGGCCCTGTGCCTCAGACTGTTCCATGTCCTCTTTGTCCTGGATCTTTCTGGGCCCTCTTGTGCTTCTAAGTCACCCCCAGATTCACAGAACTCAACTATTGTTTCATAACGGATGAAAGAAAGAGTGGTCCTCACTTATGATGGACGAACAATATCTGCCATGAAATAGGACCTATTCTTCTGTATGTCCACATCTGCAGAGACTTATTTTTGATGTAAAGTAAATGCAGGTACTACTGCTTGGGTGCAAAGTGTTGGGTCTTCACGTATACTAGGTCTTGACATTTTAAGAAAGGTGAAGTTGAGTATGCCCCATGCAGAGTGGCAAGCATCACTTCAGAATAGTGTCCCTTTGAATATTTTATGAAGGGTATGCAAGTATATTGGGAAGCTAAAAGGCAGTGAGACTGGCTGGTTCTGCACAAGTTGGTAGTAAATTGATGAATGACAGGCTAGGTGTTGTGAATGTCCTTTAGGAGCAAGTGAATAGTGGAGAGACAAATAGACCATCACAGCCTGAGGAGAATGGTGCAGAGGAGAGGGATCAAGGAATCTGGCTGATGCTTAACACTCAGGGCAGGGGAGAGACAGACATACAGTCAGACTGTTACTGGTACCAGCAGAATTGGAACTCTTCACTGGCTGCTGAAGTTTGCACTTATGAGAATGTCCTGAGGGCTGTTTAGTTGATTCATAAATCAGCTCAATTCCCCATAGGAGGTTGTTTAGAATTTCTTCTGTCTTGACTGTGAAGACAGCATAAACAAGCTTCACCAGGTTTTACTGCCAGGTCATCTAGTTGGGTTAGTGTCTGAGACTGAGATTTTGAGTACATCCCCTTCCAGCAACATAGATACACTTGTGTTTCATAAAAAAGATATCTATTTTTTTTTTAAAGATCCTTGGAAAGACATAGATATGCCTGCATTTAAAGGAGCTATGGCCTCACCAGTGGGGGCAAGTAGAAGTTCATTATCAAACACTGTGTGGGCTGTTGCAGATTTTACATTCCAAGCTCAGTTGGATTGTGACCTGTCTTTCCATGCTGGTAAGTTTTGCTTATGTGTGAATGTGTGTGTGTGTTTTTTTTTTACTGAATATTATATTAGTAGTTCCGGGATCTCATTCGGGAAGTGGGGGGGGGGGGGGGGGGGGGGGGGGGGGGACAGACCTACTGCCTGCCCGACAAGTATGTCTAAAGATTTAGTTGGCTTATTAGGTGTTTTCTTCAAAGTTGGGGGATTCGCCGCTACGTAGCGGCTAGACGTTCGCGTGCAGATCGGAGGGTCGTGGGTTCACTTCCTGGAGTAGCCAGACTTTTTTCATCATCTTCATGCAGTGAATGTTTATATACTGTTCCTACTTCTTTTTATTTTTGTTGCCTTTTACCCCTCACTGAAGCAGAGACCCTCAACCAACTCACGACAAGTCTTCCGATTTTTTGCTGTCGCATGCAGCTCATCCCATATCTTCTTTCTATTTTTCTTATTTCCCCATCTTGTTCCCTTCTCGGTGGTTTTTTTTTTTTTTGGTTCACCTTTTTTTCTTTACCCCTGAGGGTTTTAGGTAAAGCTATTCTAGTCACAGTGTTCTTTGGTTTTCTCAACCTGTTTTCTATCCAATGCCAGCATCTTTTCTTCACCTCTTGATTCACCAGATTTGTTTAGTTCTCTCCCAAAAGTCCACATTAGTGATTCTGTCATACCATTTAATTTTGTGTATTCTGCTATACTATTGGCTCTCAACCTTCCTAGTGCCATGACCCTTTATTTTTTTCTTTTCTAATTCACAACTTGCCTGAATATTCGATTTCCGATGGTCTTAGGCCACGCCTATGAAAGGGTCAATTGGCCTACAAAGGGGTCACCACCCACAGGTTGAGAACCAATGTGCTATAATTTTTGTTATAACAAAATAATTCCTAGTAAGGAACCATAGTGGTCATGTATTTTAATCCCCATTGCGTCTTAGATTGTTAAAAAGTACATTAGAAGACCAGGTTAAACCAGAGGCAGAGGGAGACAGAGAGAATAGATGCTGGAAAGTTTGACATCATTGCATGGAGGATCGTCTGTGTCAGAGTTGATTGAAAGTGCATGAGACAGAAGGTTGTTGAGAGACATGACTACCAATGCCATACGGCATGGACTTTAAGAAGAAGAAGAAGCAGCAGCAGCAACAGCAGGAGTCACTTGTAATGTTGTGACATTTGATTCAAAGAATAAACTGTCACATACATTTGTTTTTATTACGGTGTTTGGTTATGTGGGCCGCAGGAGTCAAAAAGGTTGAGGTGCCCTGCTGTAAAGTGCATAGAACTAACTGTTAACAAATGAGTTTTCGAATGTTCAATTAGGAATCAACATCATAGCGCTTAGGATACCCCCATGCGCACTCCATCCCCATCTTCAGCAGCAAGCGAAGAGTTTCAATTCTGATGGTACTAGTAACTTTCTGACTGTACGTCCATCTCACCTTTCCCTTGAGTGTTGAGCGCCGGCCAGATCCCCTGGTAACTCCCCACTGTGCCATTCTCCTCTTACCATAATGATCTTTTTGTGCCTCCGCACTGTTCACTCGCTCCCAAAGGGCCCTCACAACATCAAGCTTGTTATACATCAATTTATCACCAAGTGGTACCGAACAGGGGAGTCTATCTGCCTGCTTCTTTCACACCACACCAGAGTGACCTGGAGAAAATATCCAAAGGATGCTAACTAACTATCAAATGAGCTTTTGACATATAATTACTTGTAATATTTTAAAATAACGCTCTATACACTTTAAAAAAAATGTTTTTTGCCCTTTGATAGGTGACAGAATCAAGGTAACCACACGCACAAAATCTCAGCAGGATTGGTGGGAAGGGATCGACAGTGCCGGAGAGCAGGGAATATTCCCGGCAAACTTTGTTCATATTGTTTCTTAGCAGACAGCTTCAACCAATCAGGTTCTGTTTACTTCATGTTCCCTGTTCTTATTGTTGTGAAAGTTTGTCAGCAATCACTGCTAATAGTGTCTGATATCAAGCGTGCTCATTCAGAAATGTGGGTTGAAAGCAGAAAATATAGTATATTTGTGAGATTCCCGAGTTTCTAAGTGTTTGTTTAAAAATAATATGGCCGCCAAGCACTGTTCTACGTGCATGCCAACATGATTTACTAAAATGTAATTACTAAAGCAAATATTTGCTGCAGCTGAATTCTATAATTATTCCACAACAATCCCTGGTCACTTTGATGTATAATATGTGTATGTTGCGCATCAACTGAATTAGTAGGGTCTGTTTTAATGTGTTGCACTTGTGAAATTAAAATAAAAAATTGCATTATCACCCCTTGGACCTTTGATGCTAACCCCCTGGGACTCAAAGAGTTGAAAGATAAAATATTGTTTTTTTGCTTCTCCTCCTCCTGGTTCTTCTTTCTCTTTATTTGCTTTTAAAAGTTCAGTTGGTCTGTTATGTTCACATTTACAGTTAAGCTGAGTATCTGCACTTTTTAGAATCCAAACACATCTGATTTCACCAAACCCTCAATTAGCCGCCTTTTGTTTTTTTTACAGGCTTGTTAAGTGACAGTGGATCTACTCTTGTTCAGTTAAAAATGGAGTCCCAAAAACCTATATGGGGATGGATAATTCTATATCACATTCTGTCCTTAGACTGCAAATTTAGATCTTTTGTGTTTGGCGTCCCTGCATCTGTTTTCCCTGTCTAGATAAAAGAACATTCTAGCTGCACTATTATCAGGTTTTCTCACTGTTCTCAATTCAGTTTAAGAGTCTTTTTGTTACCTGTGGTTTGTTTAGTCTGTTACTATACATAGAAACCTAGAAAATACTATAGATAGAAACCTAGAAAATACTATAGATAAAAACCTAAAAAATACTATAGTTAGAAACCTAGAAAATACTATAGATAGAAACCTAGAAAATACTATGGAAAGAAACCTAGAAAATCTATCAATAGAAACCTTGAAAATACTATCGATAGAAACCTAGAAAATACTATAGATAGAAATCTAGAAAATACTATACATAGAAACCTAGAAAATACTATAGATAGAAACCTAGAAAATACTATAGATAGAAAAATACTTTGGATAGAAACCTAGAAAATACTATAGATAGAAACTTAGAAAATACTATAGATAGAAACCTAGAAACACTGTACTGGTTTATGACTTAACTCTCAGTTAATTTCATTATCAGTGGCTCAAATATGCTGCTACAGCATGCATGATTTTAAACATATCACTTTATATTGCATCTTAATTTAATCATAAACATTTGCATATTCAGTATTCAACTTCAGGATACATATTTTTGTTGTTGTTGCTTTCCTGTTACTTTTCATCTAGACACATAGGAAAATACTTTATTTTTATATCAAAACATTTGTAACGTGACTTAACTTTATTACTTTTTTATTGTTATTTCCAAATGTCTCTGTTTGAAGTTATCAGTGGTGCTGCGTTTTGTGCCTTTACTCTGCAAGTACATTTAATGCCATTTTGAGACTTTTAAGTTCTTATTTTATGTGATTATATAAATATTCGTTTTCAAATCAGCGGTTTATATTTTTCTAACAACCTATCTGTATTATATATTTGTATGCATTTTCAGCCATTGACACATCTACATAATTCCAAATGAATTGTACAGATGTTAATGAAATCTTGAATCATTTGTAATTGCACATTTCACATATACTGATGCATAATTATCATCATCATCAGTAAGTCTTTGAAAGCTGGGCTGGACGATCATGCATCTTCAGAGCTTCCATTCTTTAGCAGAATTTATCAAATCATCTATGACCTGGGGTAGTTCATTGACTGGCGACTGGCCTGCTGACTGTGTTTTCATCTGTTGAAATCTCTATCAAGGTAGGGATTTCATTTTATTTTTTTAAATACCTAGATTGCCAAGTTAACCCAGCCTCTAGTTGATTCCAGGAAAGTGTCTGGAAGCCAGCTTAAAATTGATCATATCACTCAATGAATGCTCCCTGTTTGCTTTTGGGGTGGGGGGGAAAGGGGGCTTTTTGTGGGGAAGAAAAGAGCAAACGAACTGCCTCCCTAACAAGCATGTCGTAAGAGTCGATAATGAGTTTTCTTCGAAGTGAAAGCGCATCTGCTTGAAAGGCAAGGAACCAACAGTCTGCCTACAAGTAAGCCAGATCAGTATTATGGATGTGCATGTGGAACGTAAGTTCTGAAACAAGATTCAAGTCTGAAAGCGGACGAACAATCAGAACTGTCCCCCCGGGTTTACAGGCGGTGAGCGCTTAAGGAAATTAGATATACTGAGTGCTGATTTTTCATTAAAAAATGCAATTATAGTAACCTAAACTGGGCACATTTCACTGCAAGAAAAAGTGTCATTCACTTTTACTTGCTTCTAGCTGGTGTGGGCGATCATGTAGCTTCACAACTCTCTGGCAAAGTCTATAAAATCTGGTGCTGGTAGCTTTCCAAGGCATAGCTGTGTAGAACATTATCTTGCTAGATTCTTGTGTCAATTTTTTTCGTGTTAATGCTGCCATTTGTTACATGTCTGTTTTCCTTTTCATAATGTGGAAATAAAATATTGACTGCTGTCTGTGAGTTTCCTTTTTTTTTTTTTTTCTTAGACACGTCCTTGGTCCCCACGTGGGTTTCAGGGCACATTTGTAGGCAGAAAAAATAATACACCCACTGCCGCTCTCCCCCGACCAACTAGCATACCGTAAACGTCTACTAATTTTGGATGTTTCCTTCTAAGTTTAAATGTATCTGCCTGAGACGTGAGGAACCTACAGTCTGCATACAAATAAGCCAGATCTGTTAAACAGATGTGCATGCAAACTCAAATTCTGAGACAAGACTAAAATCTAGAAGCAAATCAACAACCAGAACTTAATGCCAGAGTCTACAGCTGGTGAATGCAAAGGACGGGGGGGGGGGGGGGGGGGGGGGGATCTTGAGCCTGAGGATTTGGGGCTGCATGGTTAGTGCTGTCACTGTCAACTGAGCAGATAAGAATGCTTATTTTTGCCACACTATATTTTTACCGAGGATCGTAAATCTTGAAACATGGATTTTTTTTTAAAATTCAGAAAAAGAAAAATGTGTCTTCTTCTTCTTCGCGTTCACCAGCTGTACACTCTGGTGGAAGGTTCTGGTTGCTCGTCCACTACTGAACTGCAGTCCTGCTCCAGAACCTGAGTGTTGCGTGTGCATCAGTTTTACAGATCTCATTCTCTTGAATACAGACTGTTGGTTCTTGCCTCTCCGGTAGATGCACTCCGACTTCAAAGGAAGCTCCCCAAAAAGTCGACTCTTACGACATGCTTTTGGGGAGGCAGTGGGTCTATTCTTGTTTTCCCCACAATGGGGCCCCGGAACCCACACGGGGGGAAAAATGTGTCAATCTTAAAGAATGTACCACATGTGTTTAGTTATTGTCCTACTATATCAAACAATATTCTGTATATTCACGTATCTTTTACGTTTGGTCTGAGTTTACAGAAGAAGTAGGGGGAAGATATTTTAAAATGTTCCATTAGTGTCTGTTCATCCTTGAAACTAAAACACTGGTGTTTTTCCCATTGTTCTTTTTGCCCTCTTGGATTATCTGCTGGTAAAACTTCTGGGAATGAAAGAGTTAATTTTAAAGACGTTAATTTAAAAAAAAAAAAAAAATTTTATAATCGCTTTGCGCCATAACAAACCTCCTAATGCTGCAAGCGAGAAAGAAAGGAGGTAAGAATGAAGAAAAGACAGAGAGTAATACGTAGAAAAGGAAAAACAGAAAGAAAAGGAACCAATAAAGTCAGGAAGAAAAGAAAGAAAGAAAAAATACAGACAGAAGGGACAAGAAAAAGAAAAAGTGAAAGGAGAAAAGAAAGAAAACTATACATATAATTAAAAGTCATTATCATTTGAAATTTTATTTTAATAGAGTAACTATTGTCTGGAGCTGAAATAAGATCAATACATTGGAGAGCATTTATGGCTTGCTCCATAGAATTCTTGTTGTGTATGGTTTCAACACTGCAGTGGGAGGGCATTAGAAGTGTCACCAGTCTGACAGACACAGAAAAGTTCACTGGGCAAGAAAAGTAGGGCAGTCGTGGAGTCTTGATGATGGAGTTTTTCAGTGGTTGATGTCGGCAGGAGCTGGGCCTTCCTGGCAACATAAAGTGAAAATAATGTTAGTGGTTATAGGACACATTATCAAACAGCAAAATTGTTGTCAATATGGTCTTTGTCCTTTTCTCTTCTTCGTCCTCTTTTGTTTCTTCTCCCGAGAAATGACTTACTGATCATAATATAACAGGTTTTCTTAATATATACTTTCTTCTTCTCCTCCTCCAACTCCTTCTTCATCTCTTCTCCTCCTCCTCCTGAGAATTGTCTTTCCAGTCATACTATTAACAGGTTTTCTTAATGTATATTTTTCTTCTCCTTGTTTTTCTTCTTCTTCTTCTTCTTTTTCATCATCATTATCATCTCTTCTCCTCCTCTTCCAGAGAAATCTTTCTAGTCATACTATTAATAGGATTTCTGTCTTCTTTTCTTTCTTTCTTTATTTTTTCTTTCCTTTTTCTTCCTTTTCTTACATCTTTTGTTAGAATAACACAAGATTGGTGACGCTGCACACAACTTGTGATAATTGATCCCCTCTATCTAAATGATTGAAAAACCTGCTCAGCCTCTTTACAACTCGGTAATACATTCATAAGCATGGGTAACCTATGCTAGCAGGCATACTTAATAGAGGGAGGCAGAGTACATGTCGGATCAAGAACAAGATGGACAGACAGCATCAGAGACACTCTACAACAGTACAATGTGTCTATGATGAAGGCGGCCAGAAGACACTTCTTGACCTTCCTCAACATTTAGAGCAATATGCGAATGTTCTTTGGAACCAACGGGGTAG